CGGTGCAAACTGCACATGCTCGCGTCTGACAGGAGCCCTGCCTCCGGCCCCGCTTAACTCCTTGTATGCCCGCTGGCGCGCCAGGTGCTCTACCCTGGTGACCCCGCTGCCTCCCGCAGCCGGGAGTCGGCCGCGCCCGGGATTCTTGGCGGCGCGCCCTCGGCCTGGGCCTCCGCGCAGGTGGCTGCAGTGCAGAACTCCTAGGCCCTCCCGGCCCTTGCCACTCCGCTTGCATTCAAAGTGTCTGCAGGAGCTGGGAGGAGAGGACTAGCCCGGGCCTCTGACCTCCTGGCTTGTAGGAGTTGTGGGGACTGCGTGTACAGCATCCATCGTGGGTATCCTGCAGGTTCCGGCTACCTAAGGGCTATGGGCCGCACGGTGTTGCAGACCTACTGTGTGCCACTATTGAGTTCTGTGCGGTCTATCCATTGAAACAGCCTTGCAAGGTTGTTTTTATTAGCTAGGTTTTCAAGAGGGAGAAACTGAGGCCTATGGAAATTAAGGAATTTGCCTGTGGCAAATTTGGCCTGAACTTCCAACGCCCACGATTTGGTTTATACCGCAAAGAATGAACAGAAGATGTTCTTTCTGATGTCAATCTAGGGTCTTCTGTTGGAAGGCAGATAATATTGGATGTCATCTGGAAAGCCTAGAGATTCTGGAATAGGGAAGGTGGGAAATCCGTGACAGACGGCCCTGACTTGAGACAGGCCCCTCATACGGGTCCTAGGTGCTGCAGAAAGCCTATTCAGGGAGTGAGAATGCAATCCAACCCCTATCCCAACGCCAAACCTCGGTCCTGGCACTGGGTGCCTCAGCCAAGAGCAAAGGACTTTAAAAATTTTTTTGTAATGTCCCCTGGAGGTGTCCTTTTGTAAATAATCTGTCCAGAGGGGGCGCCCTTTTCTAATTCTCACGCAAACCCCAGGCCTGATATGAGATCTGAGGGCTGCTTCTCTCCTAGCTCTCTCTCCTTTTTTATCACATGCCACAGTGACAAATAGTTCTCAGAGATCCAAGGAAGCATGGATTCTTCTAAAAAAGGAAACCGAGGTTCATCCAGCTGGTCTCACCTCACTCTGGATGAGAAGCTGGGTAGCTTTGCTACTATCTGAACCTAATACGATTCTATGTCTTCCCCTAATTGTTTGATGGGGCCATGGGTCTTCCAGCAACCTCCTGTCCAGCGGGGATATTCAAAGTTATATCCCAATCTAGAGATGAGCAATGTGGACAAGGAGTTCTAAGCCCATCCCATACACCCCCTGTTCTTGGGCTGGCTAAGTCATTTTTTCCAGAAGGAAAACACTGAGGTTTGATGGGGACAGGAGTTACGTTGGATTTCTCAAACCAGTATACATAACCAAGAACATAACCATGTGGTGCCAGGGGCAAGATCTCTTAGCTTCCCTGAGTTAGTTTCCTCCTCTGTAAGATGGAGATAATATTGCCAATTTATAAGTATATTTTGATGACCCAATGACATAAAGTTCTCAGTAAAGTTCTCAGTACACAGTAAGCCTTCCATAGGAAAGTGTTTTCTGCTGAGGGTAAAGCAGGAAGTGGAGAGAAAGGGTCAGGCCGACAGTGAGTCAGGTGGGCTGTTCCTAGGATACTGTTGAAGAGGCAGGAGACAGCCTCCTCTCAGGAATACCTTGGCAAGGAGCGGCCGGCGCAGTTATTCTGGCAACAAAGCCCACCTGCTGAAGAGGGACCTCCCCTGTGCCCCCCTGCCTTGGAGTCCCAGTTCTCCCGCTCTGGTTCTCAGTCTGTGGCTGGCAGCTGACTCAGCTCCCTCCCCGACTCTGGGAGGCAGCATTGCGTAGAGGAAAGCATAATAGGCTGGAAAGGCAGAAGATCTGAATTCCGGGTGACTTATCCATTAGGCACGGTAGGTGCACTGCCTCGCACCCATGATATTTTTAGGGCTCACAAAAATGTTAGAATTTCTTCTAAAATCATAGACAAAAATTAAACTTTGAGGTCTATATGTTATATAATATTAGTATTTTCATCCTTAGTGTAGAAGCCATAGTATATAGAAGCCAACGTGCCAGTTATAGGATCAGAAAGAAGGAAGAGTGAGGAACTAAGGCACGAGACTTGGCATCAGCCAGTTACTATTCAGCTCTCCCATGGACTTAACTCCATGATCTGGGTTTTCCTCATTCCTAAATTAGGAAGGACTTCTTCATAACAAAAATGTATATAATGCCTTATAATTGACATAGCATCTCTTTTTGGATAAAGCAGCAATTTTTACCCCCATTTTATAAATGAGGAAATCAAGGCTCAGAGACATTGTATGGTTTGGTCAAGGTTATATAGCTAGAAAAAGGAGAATACAGTTCAAACTCAGAGCATCTGGCACCCCATCTGAGGTCCTTTCCAACTATACCTAGAAGATTTCAAATAAGACCAAGTGTGTCTTATTTGGCAGAGCAGTCTGCTGCAGAAGCAGACCCAAAAATACCACCTGTAGCAATGAGTGGTTCTCTGGCTTTTCACCCAAAGAATGCTGAAATATGCATGCAGTGTTATGGGAACGGGTGGGGAGGGTGACCCTGAGTGAAGGTAGGCACAGTAATAGTGCTTTAGTGATTCAAGTACAGACTCAAGGTGGATGGCCATAGGACAAACCAAGCTGCACTGCACTGACACACACCAAAGGATGCCAGCCCTCCTTTGCCTTCTTGTCTTATCAGAACAAACTGGATTTGAGTTCAGACTTCATATCTTGGCCAGATGACTTAAGGTAGTCTATTTAACCTTTCTGAGCTTCTTTCCTCATCTACAAAATGGAAATGACAATAATACCCAACCCCATGACTGTTTTAAGCATAAATAAGATGATTTATGTTAGGTATTTTGCATAGTGCCAGGCACATAGACATAGTTAAAAGTCCCTGTCATAGCAGAAACATCTCTCTTCTACCACCAAGCAGGGAAAAAGAATGTCTTTCAAGTGTCTTTGTAGTCTCCAAAGTGCCTTGAATACAGTAGGTTCTTAGCCATATTGTCTGAAAGGCGAGAACTTTCTTGCTCTTCTACAAAGCAAACCATCCATAAGAGGTTGCTCTTGTGTTTTCTATATACTTGTTAGTGAGGATTGGTTCCCTGGGGGTTGCCTCTGACCACAAGTCAGGAGAGATGTGGCTCATGAAGGTGATTTCGCTGGAGGGACTGGGCTCGCAGCCAGATCAGGAAGGACCTGATAGGGAGCGGAGCATGAAAATTAGAGACTGAGAGAGAAGTATGTAGAGTCTGTCCCCGATGCTGTGATAAGAAGTGAGGTAGGAGCAGAGGAATTATTGAAGTCAAAGTTAGTCTTGAGTTTGGAATATGTAGACTGGCTTCAAGGGAAAACAAGCTGGGTGAGGGAGAACTGAGGGAACCCCCAGGGAACCAATCCTCTCTGACGAGCATACAGACATCTTCCTGTTTCCCTTAAAAGTCATCAAGAAAATTACTTCTGGTAGACAAGAGCAACCCCTTCGTAGATGGTTTGCTTTGTAGAAAGACAGAAAAATTCTTGTCTTTCAGAAAATATGGGCATGATCTTGGCAGTAAGAGTGTAGGTCAAGGTAATAGGCTAGAGTTTGAGAAATGGGGGACTCTCTTTGTAACAGCCCCTTCTTGAAACAGGAAAGACAGAGGTGTAAAGAGGCTAAGGAGTGTGAACCTACATCATTTAGGATTCTTTGGTTGCAAGCGACAGAAACCAACTTTAGCAATCTTAAGCCTAAGAGGACTTTATTAGAAGAATATGATCAGGTAGCTTGTGGATTGCATGGGACTGCTAGCAAAACAGACTTGAAAAGGCGAGGACCAGGACAGCTTTAGGGCCGAGGTAATGGGAAGTATTTGAAGGTCTCCTCAGGGCTCTGCTGCCAGAAGAACTTCAATCTTTTTCTCACTTCTGCTCAATTGTAAAAGGGTCACATTTGCTCAAGTTGAGTCATGTATCCACCTGTTGGCCGGGGAAGGGCTTGCAGGATACCCTGGCATAAGCTCTACCGGCACCACACACCACGATCGAGGGGTAAGCAGTGAAAGAGAAGTCAAAAGTGTTGTTACCAAAGGAAGGGAAAGGCTGCTATGCAGCCCCCCAAATGCAAATATCCATGACACGGGGGAAGCAGGCAGCACAGGGAATGTGCCCCTGACTCGGTGCCTCTATAAGTTTCTTGACTATGAGAGAGAGTAAAGGGAGAAACACCTAAACTGTGAGAAAGCAGCATGAAGCTCTGAAAAGAACAAGACGGGAAGGTATAGATGGTTGAAAAGAGTCACTGCTCATGCTGGGGTCAGTTAGAGCTGGAGATGGGCAGAGGTTATGTGGACTTGGCACAGCTTTGAGCTGTGCTCAGAAATGAGTGAGCTGTGATATGGAAAGCAAGTGCAAAAAATTGTTAAGGATATTC